CATAACAATTCAAATTATAATTATATCAACTTTTTACTACTTAACACATATTTATTAGATTAATTTTGTTAATTGTTTTTATACTGAATTTTTAATATAATAATAATAATAATAATTATTATTATTATTATTGTTATTATAATATTACTGTTAAAAATACTATTTTTATTATGATTTTATGACAAATCTTCCACGAATTTTGATGAATGAGACAAAGTTTTAATGGGAGTATTAATTTTTGGTGGAATAATCTATAAAATTTTCTAAGTGATTAAAAATGTTTAAGTGACCGTAAAAATTTATGAAAAAGATTATAAATTCGATTTGAAATTATTCATGATGTAATTTGTGACAAAGACATATTTGTTGCAAAATTTTTGTTAGAAAATTAAGCACTCGTAAAAAAAAATTGTTTATACACAATCATATTGTGATTCAAACTTGTAAATGTAAGTATATATACATAAAAACAAACATATTAAAACATAAATAGCATAGGTAAATCTTAAATTTGACAATCAAATATAAATATATAATAATTCATCATTTGCAAGTAGTATTTGAAGTTGTTATATATTTAACAATAGGAATAAACATAAAACATTAAATAAATTTCAACAAACTTAGTACATTGACTTGTCATCCAACAAACATAATACCAACAAACATAAGTAAATTATTTAAAATAACATTATTAAACAAATAAAACATAGTAAATCAACTATGATGATTCTCCACTGGTAATGTGCTTCAATAAATAATTCAGTCGTAATCTTGGTAATAATGCTAAAAATCATAGCCCTATGAATGTGGTTCTTGCAGATAAACTCGTAGTTTTCTAACATCAATGGATCGTTATACAAATTGAGTTGATATAACAATTGTCATATATCATTAGTAGAATGTTATAATGTTACATAGCTTCTTTGGATCATAACTTGTTTACTCATCAAGTTTTTGCCTTTCCATGATCATGGTCTGGCATTCCACCACAATAATCTGATGCTCTACAAAATCACATTGACACTAAGTCACCTTTGTTACTTTTGTAGAAGATTTATTACTTTAACTGATCATATCCACAAGTTGGTATATCCTTGTACTCATACTTTCAACTTGCACATTTAAGTCTACATCGACCATGTTGACTTTTTTCTTTGAGCCTCATGAGGAAGATGTTCTTGTAGAAGGGGGTAGAAGGAATAGATGGAGAGATTCCTCGACTGTATGAATCCATTTGTGGTGGACTAGGCCACATCTCATTAAATGTTGGAATATAATGCCTAAGTCCATTGTGAAACCCCTGCATCTATGGACTTGACGTGCAAATCTTGTCATGTGGCCGGTGACACGATCAATTCCCCATAATTCTTCCAACAAGCCATAAAACTTAACTAAGGTCACTTGCCATTTGGTTGCTGATAGTTTTGTCTGAAAAAAATAGATTCACAAAGTAACATTTTATTATCTTTATTTACTGTTAATTTAATAACTTAACTCCTCACCTTATTAACTTTAAAAATTTGGTACAGTTAATTCCAAAGTAACAATTTTTTTATGCTTCCAATTGCTCTTATACTTACCTAAACATATATGCCTAATTTTCCAATAATTATCTCAAACATATTTCTATAGTTATATTCTCGAATCCACTACATGCAAACATTCATAGCAAATTAGGGGAAAATATTATTTCTTTGTAATTTTGTAATAATATGAACAATTGTATAATCATTTCAATGTACGGAATGAACATTCAGAGGGCATGTAATTAATTATGTGCACCTCCATTGATTATGTACAAACGCTTAATCAATTATGCTGCATTATATAATCGATTATGAAGTTCGACATTATCAATTATGAAGCCAATGATAATCAATTATGTCTTTGTTTATAAGGGATTAAAAAAGTCAATTTAATCGATTATACTTTTGACCTTTACATTTGTAACAATGACGCAACTTATAACCAATTCAAATTTCAATTCAATAATTCAATAACAAACTCATGATACAAGTTGAATCACAATTTCGTTGGGAATGGAGGAGGAGTGAACGTACAATGGAAGTGCAAGGAATGAGTGTACGTATAAATTAATAAAAATGGTTCACAAGACTTTTCAATGTGTGAACTGTGAAGAATAACGTTCATTCAACCAGTGACAGATTTTTTTGGGAGCTGAGGGGGGCCGTGGCCCCCCCAAAATTTTGTAACTCCCATGTAATTTATGATTTTGGCCCCCCAAACTTAATGAAGATTTAATATATTTACTTGTATATTTACAATTTTATCCTCCAAGACCCTCTTTAGTTTTGTAACTCTCATATAATTTATGATTTTGTCTCCCTTAAACTTAATGATTATTTAATATATTTAAGTATATATTTATAATTTTATCGTTTCACCCTTTCATCTTCTTACTTCCTTTTATATTTATTTATTATTTATTAATAATATATTATTTGGTCCCTTCAAGATCAATGGTCAAGATCTCGCCTCGCATTCAACGCACATGATCATGCACAATGCGTGATCATGCACAATGGTTTTTGGCAACTATGTGTTTACTGTAGCTATCTTGTGACTGTGAATTCATCAGAAGTATGCACTGTCTTGATGCAGAGATTATCTCTGCATTTGCAGTTGTGTATCACAATACGACAAAAATCGGGATAACATAATAATTTGACTCATTTCTCTACATTTTATCTTAAGTTTGGAGGGGTGATAACATTCATCTCTCCCCTTTTCATTTCTTCTTAAATATGCACAAATCAACCGATTTAAACATGATTACTCTCAAATTCGCTCCCTCATTTTTTTTACTACAATACATCAATGGAAGCAACACAAAGCATAAATGAAAGTTGAAAGTTGATGTATGTTAGGCATGATAACGAGGCGGGGGCGAGTTTTGCCTCCTCGATCCCCGGCCCCGACATTTTTAACTATCCCCGCCCCTCAATCCTCGCCGGAGTTAGAAATTAAGTTCATATCCCATCCCTATTGGACTTCGTATTTCCCAGGTCAAGTCTCGTCCCCTATCTACATTATTTTTAAAAAATGTTTATATTTATAATAAATTAATTTTACTATTTTTATGTATTTTTTGTACATAAATAAATATTTATAGTTTTATAATTTGTAATTATTATTAATTAAATATATTTTTTATTTATTATATTTATATTAAAATATGTATGTAAAAAAATATTTAATTATTTTTTTATACCGATGTAAAATACTTATATTATTATTATTATTATTATTATTATACTACTGTATTTAAATATTTGAATTATAACATTATTATTATTATTATTATTATTATTATTATTATTATTATAATACTATATTCAAACATTTAATTATATATATAAGTTAATTCCTTTTTAAGTTATGATTTAAAAATATGAAATATATAGTTTATAAGAAAATATTTAATAAATTAGTTCTTATTTAATTAGTTCAAAGTAATAAAAATTTAAATTATCAATTTTTTTAATCCTTAAAAATATAATTATTTTATTAAGATAATTTGATATATGACAAATAAGAATAATAAGATTAAAAAAAATGATGTAATAAAACCTAATAAAGATAAATGATCAATAAAATAATATTAGTTACTACTAATATTTATGTGAAATATTTAGAAAAAAGATAAAGAATAAGAAAAATTAACTTTCTGTTCATCAAATTAGTTAAAAAGATTGAAAAACACAAATTAATTGGAGAGATTAAGGAAATGCGGAAAAGTGAATGATAAGAGAAAAAGAATAATGTAATGAACTAATTGATATAAAAGATAAAAAAAGATAAAAGAATTAAAAAATGGATAGAAAAAAAGTAATAATGGTAAAATATAAAAAAAATATAAAAAGAAGAGGAAATACTTTTAAAATATTAATATTTTAAAATTTAAATTTAAATATAAAATCGGGCCGACGGAGACGGGACCGGAGTGAAGATTGTATTACCCATCCCTACCGCGGAAAAATTAAAACCTATCCTCGGTCAACTTGATTTTTTCTGTCAAACTCGGAAAGGAACAGACCGGTCCTGCCGATATGAGTTTAATTGTGATCCTAGTATGTTATATAACCAATTAAAATTATATTTATTTAATAATTTAGAAAACGGAAATGATTTTTTATTTTAATTAAATTTTCAGAAAGGTCTTACGTAAAAAATCTTCATCATAAGATATTCTTACAATAATCAAATATAAGTCAATGCCTGATCAAAATTTAAGCTTCAATTCCTTTCTCCAGAGTGTATTTTTTATATTAATTTTTTATTCTATATTTTATTATATATGTGTTACTTTTTCGAAATCAGAGATGAAAATAAAACACACAAATTCATTTTAGTTTTAATAAATGACGTGCAAAAGTACATCATGAGTTTTCTTAAATTGAAAACAAAAAAAAATACAAATCACAAGGGATTATTAGTTCAAATTCATGAGAAAGTTAAAACTTAGAAACATGGATAAATGTGAAAATTACATGTGTTATTTTTATAATACTTATTTTACGTGAATATAAAAAAAATATTTGTAAAAATTTCTAATAAGTTCTATTTATATTTATTTATAATACAACACACGAAAAGTCAAAGTGTTGAACAAAATGTATTTTTACTCTTCAGATCAAGGCGATAAGGTGTTAAGTGGTTTGAAGAAGTACTCGACAAAATGACGTCTTTTAACTTGAAGAAAGTTCAATTTGCGCTGATCAAAATGCATGTCACTGAACAGATGATTAAAAAAATTAATCATCTTTTCTGTTGGAATTGGATATAATTCCATAACTCTTCTATAAATTCTATTTGTTGAAAACCGTATCAAATTTCTCACTTGCACACTTTCATAACCTTTTTACACACAGTATCAACTATTTACTTCAAATTACAAAACCCAAATGTATAATCAAACACCAAACAAAACCTTAAACCGTTATTCATGGGTTCTTTTGTACTCAATACTAATAACATCAACTGCGATCCATGACGCGTTGAATCAATCTTATTGGAAGGGCCTTCTTAAGCTGCCTCCATAGATTGTTGGTGATACTTCGAACCATCACATAAACAGGAAATTGGATCATTGCAAATATGGTGACAGGAAAGAAAGCAGCACTGTATATCAACGTTGAAGTCCAATGCTTCCATTCCAATCGAATGGTCAGCAACATGGTTGCACTGAATGCAAGCATTGTTGTCATCAATGATAAGAACAGCAAAGCAAATCCCAAGTTCAGTTTTCGTGGAAGAGACTTGTGAAAATCCCACAACTCACATGGGGAAGTGAGGATGGAGAGAAACACCACCACTGAAGCAAGTGAGGTAGCAAGAGCCACAACGTCCATGACAGTGAAAAAGAGAAACACACCAGAATGAAGGAATACAGGAGTACCATTTTCAGTTCCACCTGGAATGGTGTATGCAGCAGCAAATACAACTGTAGCAACTAGAATTGCAACAGTGGAGCATGATTGAGCAGTTTCTTTTAACCATTTTTGTGCCTCTTCAAGCATCTTTTCATGCTCAATTTCTAACATATCTTCAGGTGTTTGTCCGTCTATGTCACAGTGCATGTTGTAATGTCTAGGAGTGATTCTTCTTACTTTCTGAACACACAATAGTTATTTTCTAGTCATTTGCAAGTAGTCATAAAAGACTTAGATTACTCTTTCTAAATTTGTTTAGTAGCTACATATTGTAAGACTAAGTATCTAGATAACTAAGGTTCTTTTTAATAGACCAAAAAAGTGTCCAAACATATAGTAAGTTGTAAAGGGTTAATCAACCACTTACATCATACCAACGCAACTCATCTTGGAGACGAAATGCAACTCCAGCTAAGTGTTCTCCTTTGTAGTAATCCATCCTTGCAACTTCATGCAAGATAGTTCGTTCTTTATCTGTCAGTTGAGCAGCCAATGTTTCAATTGTACCTGTTCTTTGTAAGATTTCAAGAATTTTCTTCTGTCGATACTTAGCAGCCCTGTATAAAGTACAATATTATTAAATGTCATTTTTCTGTCATGTTATACGTTTTTATAAAACAATTTAGGACAAAAATAAAATAGGTTTAGACACAACTTCGATCTATTCTTACATGTTCAATATGTTCTGCTTATTCTCAGTAACATGATAAATAGCCGCAGGATGGAGTTCAATATATTTTTCAACAATTTCTACAATTCCAGTTTTAGTTGCTATGAATAATGCTGTGCGTTCTGGAGGGTCTTTATCGTACATACGCCTCTCTTCCCTGTTCTGTGCACTTATCCTTCTCCTTTTCACCACGTTTAAAGGATGACGAGGCATATTAATAACTTTTGTCCTTCTATTCTCATTAAAGGATGCTTGCCATGATAAGTCTTTTTCTATCAAAATATTGGCCAGACTATCAGCCAACTTGTGTTTTTTCTTTTCCTTCCACATATGATCAATTCCTTCAAACTCTGCAATGAAGATCAAACAAAAAATTTGTTATAAACAACTAATTGGTGGAATATAGTATAACTCTTTGTTAAAGGATTCTATAGATTAATACAGCAGGAATGTCAATATCTTAGTTACAACATTCTCATTAAGTTTATTTATGGCTTGTTTATAAGTAAAGTTTTTGGATTAATGGGAAAGTTGGGAATGTAATAATGATTCATATAAGACAAAATTGAATATAGACAAAGCTAGTATGAAAATTCTACTTAGTACCTTTCGCCAAGTGTTTCCAAAACCTGTAGTTGATATCTGAAATTGCTGAAATTTGAAAATTTCTTCTGATGTTATATGTAATCACAGTCACTCACAATAATTTAGAAAAAACGAATTAAATTTATGAGTACCTGATTTGGAGAGTAAAGACTCATCCTTTTTACCATTTTCTACATCTTTCTTTTGTTTAAATAAGGGAAATTTTTCTTCATGATCAATATCATATCTTTCAGGAAGCACTGTCACCCAAATCATAAGCAACCAACATTAATTATATATATAAATGGTGAAAGAGTTATGATAAATGTTTCAATGGTTGTTTCAGAAAGAGAAAAAATTATTTATTAGATATGAATTAAATTCTAACTTTGAAATTTATATGTAAATCCTATCCTTCTTTAACTTGTGAGAAATTAATAGCCAATAATTCAATTAGAATATTGACTGAAAGTTATAAAGTGTGTCGCATTATATTATAAAGGGTAGAAAAAGTGACGGGGAAGGTACAGAGATATATGATGCTCTTCACTGCTCCCATTTGAGTATGGCTTCGAAAAACATGTGGCATTTTGGAAAGTAGTTGAAGACATGTTAAGTTCTTCTTATCCTTTTCCAGAGCAAGTTCTTCATCCATTCTTACAAGCCAAATTGCAACATCTGCACCAAAAAATTACTCTATGTTACACAATCATCCACTCTGAAGCATTATCTCTGGTAAATAGGTAATGAGAATAAAAAGAATCTGATATTAATGGAAGAAACGGCAAGGATTTGCAATGATTCATACCCTTATAACATCAATTGTTCTGTCATACTGATTTTTGTTATTGTGTGGTTCTTTTGTCTCTATTTTATTAAATAAAATAAAGTGACTTATGTCATATGCAGATCTGTGCAGATCCAACCAAAACCAGAACTAAAGCATAATTTCCTCTAAATTGTTAAAATTAACAATATGAGCATTATTCAAATTTGATAAAACAATGTAACTTCTCTAATTTAAAATCATAAGTCTGTACAAAAAGTGATAAGAACAACCCCGGAGGCTTTTAAATTTTGCAATTATCTCGATATGGACAGAAACTTCGACACGATTGTATAACAACACAATTTCCGATATATTTTTAAAATACAATTTATTATTAGTAAAACCTGTTAAAAAGATTATGAAACTATAAAGTTCATCAAATAAAAGGTGAAACAACTTTCTATGAACCACTATAACTTTCAATTAACAATAAAAACTTATCAAAAATTTAGGTAGAACAAGGTAGACATGTAAGTAGAAAGAAATGAAAGACATACGCAAATGTTGGCCAATGACACTGACATGAAGAACATTATATTCGTCAGATCGATGCCAATGTTTTCGTAAATCCATGTGATGCGTGACTGCACGGTTAGCCATGTGTTTGAGAATCTTGAGCTTTCCATGCATGGCAGCCATGAACAAAGGGGTTTCTCCTCTGACGTTTGTGAGCTCAAGCAATGGCCTTTTCTCCTCCATTTCTGGTGGGTGCAACTCATCTTCAAACGAGAAGACAACATCAGCCATGTGGGTCACATTTTTGGAGAACACAATCTCGTGCAAGACAGTGTTTCCCTCACGATTCTTCTTGCACAAAGCTTGCCACCTTTCTGCTTCAGGCACCAATTGTATCAACTCTTGGAGGAGTCGAGGGTTGTTGGAGCCAGTTGCAACATGGATGGCAGTGTTTTCGAACAGGTCAAACGGCTTGAGGATGATTTCCTGGTGTTTCATCATCGTTTCCTTGAAATCTTTCCATCGATTTTCCATGGCTTCACTTTGAGCCTCTTTTATATTCTCACAAAACAGTGGAAATTTCTCCACTCTCTCCCAATCTACACCCTCCATGGTCTCCATTTTACTCATTCTTCAACACTGAGATTATGTTAGTTCACTCACTCTCTGTCCATATATATATATATACTTTGCTTAAATGAGAAAGAGAGAGTATCTAAGAATTTTGTCCATCTTTCACTTTTTTTTTTTTTTTTATTCTTTCATCTGTTCACTTCTTAACCTTGTTCCGTTTTTCGTCTATCTTTCTCCTGTACTGTGTGGTTGGGTAATGGAATTTCGATTTTTTTCAATTACAAATAAATAATGAGAAATTCTTAAAAACAACATATAAAATTTTCCATTTTTGTTTCTTCTTGTTCGCTAACAATGACAGTGAAGAATTGTTATTGTTTACTTTAAAATTTGAATTATAAGATTATAATTTAAAATCTATATTTTACACACAATGTGTTAGTAAAGAAAAAATCGATACCAGAATCGAAAAAAAAGAGAGAGAAATATCGAAGATCAAATGGTTGGTTGGAAATTTGATAAAACAGTTAGGAAACACCCGGTAACCACAAGATGAAAACGCATATAAATCGAGAATCAAATAAACAAATTTGATGTCTATTGTTGAAGAAAATCGAGAAATTAGAATCTGGTGTAATATTAAGGGGAATCAAAATAATTCAAAACACTCGATGTCTGAAATCGAGATCGAGGGAACGGTTAACGCGCACATAGAACATGGGAAACGGTTTCTAAACCGTGACAAAGATCGAAGATCAAGGGAGCGGTTATCTCATGCATGGGAACGCGAAATGCAGTTTTCTAAACCGTAGAACTAAGGAACGCGCATGTTGGATCGTGGTGGCAGTTTTGTTAACTGCTCCTGGAAGGTTATATGGAAGGAGACCTATAAATAGAACGAAACATGAAGAAGAAAGGGGAGATTGACAGAGACAACGGAAACGCTAGTGAACAGCCTGCAGGAGAACGACGCATCATGAAGTTTCTAATGTTCTGGATTTCCGTTTTTATTGATTATCTTTATCGCTTTCTTTACTTTCCCTAGTAATTTACTTTCATTGCAATTTATGTTTATCAGCTTTAAGTTTCTGCCTTTTCAATTTCTTGTCATTTACTTTTATGTAAAATTTACTTTTATGCAAGTTAAGGTTATGCGTTTAAGATCCTCGCAATTTACATTCCTGCAATTTCGATTTCCTGCCTATTTACAATTCTGCAATTTTCGATTCATTGTCATTTATACTTAATGCAAATTTGAGGTTTCCGCATAATTTAATATTCTGCACCACTTTTCGATTCAACAATTTCACTGCTTTCTTTACTTCGCGTTTCTTAATAAAAAATACCAAAAATAGTACTTTCGATTTGCATACTAGGTTGTGTTGTTTACATTTTTTAAACCATGGGATTTCCGATTCTCATGCATTTGTCGATTGAAAACTGTTTGCTAGTCTAAATAAAAAGAATCTACGTGGTTAAAATTTGGTTAGAACCTAAGTCTTTAAGAAATCGAAATCGATCAAATTTTCATTAGAAACACAACGTAAATTTCTCGAAAATAAAAGATAAATTATTATTAGCAACTTTCTTATAATTAATAATTAGATTTATATTACTATTCAGTATGTTTAATTTATCTTTTTTCTATATAAAAGATTAAGTTGATGAATATATTTGAGAAAATTTGTGTTGTCAATAATAATAATAATAATAATAATAATAATAATAATAATAATAATAATAATAATAATAATAATAATAATAATAATAATAATAATAACATCGTAAGTGATATTAATTAGGGATTAATTTTAAACTAACTGAACTCATAAAAATAGTGATAATACAAAATATATATACCTGAAAGTTATCTTCTCATTTAAAAATATTTAAGAGAAGTACGTAAACCAAATAAATAATTATAATTTTTTTCAAAATCGTTTTATTAACCTTTTACCTATTAAATAAAAATGATGATGAATATATATATATATATATATATATATATATATATATATATATATATATATATATATATATGTTTCAAAACCCTAATTATGTATAACATTACTTTACGCAATAGGATACAACCGTACCCTAATTAAAGAAAAAAACATTCTAATGGTTTTGTCCAATTATATGATTTTCATGTTTTCAGAAGTTAAGATTGTTCCCAAATCACTTTAATTATTTCAAGAGCAAAAAAATTCTATTCTCTCCACTTTATTCATATTCCAAAGAATCATGATTAATGGTTTTGCATGTATAATTTATTCGAGGATGATAAAACTTTCAATTAAATATGATATTAGCATTAAGTGAATTTTTATGTTAGATCACTATCTTCACTATCAATTAATCTCAATAATCTTTTTTCTTAATTAATTTATATATATTCACACCAACTTCTATGTATATTTGTTAATTTCTTAATTACTAAGTAATATATAATACATAAAAGACTTATCTTGCTATTATTTGAGACTAATTATTTCCTTTTATGTTTAACAATAGATTCAATGACTTTCTTATAAGACATCCAACATGTTTTTATGTGACGTATATTAAAAAATTTAAATTCTAAAATAAAATTTAGTTATCTATCATAAAATCAAATTTAAAATTAAAATATTAGTTTTAAATTTTGAGAGATATAAAAAATCAAACAAAAATATTTGCATTGACCGAAACTAAAATTGTTAATTTATAAAAAGAAAACCCAATTATTTCCAATTTAGAGCAATGGATAACAAATAGTTATTTCTAAAAGTAAATTAAAAATTATTTTATTTCTCTTATAATTATGTATTTAGTACAAAATATTCACCTATGGTTAAACTTATTATTTTATGAAGATACATATGGTGTCGATGAATATAATTTTTTTATCAGTAAAGGTATTTAAGGGAAGTACGCTATAAAAATAGTTTACATTTGAGAATATTTATAAGAAAATACATGTAAAATCACTCAAAAAATTTAATTATTAAAATATTATTATTATTGTTTCGTCTAGGAATGACGGTATTTCAATCTCATGTCTACTATAATAACATTATTATGGTTGTAACATTATTTGTTTTAGAGTTCTCGTCTATTATAGTTTTATCTTAAAAAATATCTTAGTAACTAAAAGAAGAAAGTATATATAAACTATCGTTGTCTCAATTCTTAAATAATATCTGAGATTCACGAGTGTATCAAAACATAAGTCTCGAGTCAAGAATTAAAGGATACGTATTTAACCCACGGTGGATGTCAATATTCCATATAATAATAATAATAATAATAATAATAATAATAATTAATTATTATTATTATTATTATTATTATTAATATAACTCTTAAAAACTAGATTTAGTGATTATGGCCTGATATTATTTTGAGGTGAAAAATATTTTGTATACACATTTCACTCGTAAATTTCACCAAAATGTCTACAAATATTGAAGAAACAGAGTTATTAAAAGATTTAATTTGAAGAACAAACTAGAAAAATAACCTATTAACTCATATTAATATTAGGAATGTGGTGACACCTACCAATAAGCAAGAGCCATAAATTCTGACGGTTAAAAAAATGTGATTTTTAAAAGAATAAGTATATTTTTCGTCTGTAAAATAAGTTTTATTACATTTTCAGTATTATGTTGATAAATCCGATCCTCTAATTTTATAAAATATGTTGTGTCTGTCCGATTTTCTGGTAGTTAAAACTATTCGGTCTCTGATTATATTATTATCTTAATTAATTATATTAATTCTTTAATTATATATTAAATGTATAAAAAATTGATAATTAATATAGTATTAATTTATATCTTTTTAAATTTGGGTGAGATTTTTTTAAATTGAAAATTTGTGGATAATTGAACTAACTAAATTATTTTTTTAATATCGTATTTATATAGTGACTTGAATATCAAAGTGTCTTGACCTTCACCTCATAATTTCAACACTTATTATAATTTGATCACACTTGATCTCATATCCTCGTATATCTCGACCACGTTTATTCTAAATCTCACATAGTTCGGTCATGTTGATTCAGAGTCTTGTAAAATTAATAAATCTTAGTTTAGAAAAATTACTATTTTTTGGTTTTAACTTATTTGGTTATATTATTGACATTTCTTTATCGGCAAGAACATTTAGCACCCATCGTAGGTTGGGTAAAACATATCCTAGACCCGCAATCCCACACTAATCATCACCATGAGTTAGGAAGATATCATCAATAGCTTAAAACTACATATCAAGGAGATGTAGCAAAGAAATGAGGTAAAGATTGCCAAAATTAAGTGAAAACATGAAGCCAAGATGATGAGCAAATAGAGAAACAACTAAACTTGTTGGTAAGATCTCCTATGAGGTATCACACCTCATCTAGAAACCAATCAGAGTTGTGGTATCAATCCCTACCTCTTAAGGGGATATTCACTTCGAAGGTGAATCCAACCATAAAGCTACCTGGGGCAAACTTGAAGGAGGAGAAGATATGTCTGACGCTTGGGAGTCCCTTTACTCCTGAAATATTGAAGGAGTCATTATCATCACTATAGAAGACATTCATTATAGAAAATTTTGGAAGAGCAATTGATATGGATGAACTTGTCCGATCTTATTTGACTCATGTCAGTGTGTTTGGTGAAAGTGATGCTTTTCTTTACAGAATTTTTTCAATGACCTTGAAGGTAATGACGCTCAAATGGTTCTACGATTTATCTCCTAGGTCAATAAATCTTTTGAAACATTGACACAAAAATTTAGAGGCAACTTTGCGGCCATAAGACCACACCGGCCAACTTCTCTTACCCTCCAAGGGTTAAGACAAGAAAAATCTAAGCCTTTAAGAAGTTTTATAGAGCGTTATAATCAAGTTAGTCTTACCATTCACAACTTGTCCACAAATTTGGTCATTCATTCTTTGATTTCTGGACTTAGGCACGAACCCTTTTTTGATAGTCTATATATGGATTATTCAGAATCCTTAGAAGAGCTTAGAACTTGGGCCTCTAAATTCATACAATTAGAGGAGA